AAAGGTTTAAAAGTTGAGTTTGATGAAAATTGTTGCATGATTAATGATTGCTTTACAAATGAAATAAGGTTCTTAGGTAGAAGAATAGTGAACATTTATATGTTTGATTTGAAATTTGCATCTGCTCATATACACACAAAATGTTTGTTGTCTAAGGGAAATAATACATGGTTATGACATAAAAGGGTTGCACACATACACATGGATCATTTAAATAAACTTGTAAGAAAGGATTTAGTAATTGGACTACCTAAACTCAAGTTCTATAAGGATAAACTATGTGATGTTTACGAAAAGAAAAAACAAGAAAAGGTTAGTTTTAAAAGCAAAAATGTATTTTTAATTACAAAGCCTTTGTAATTAATTCACATAGGTTTATTTGGTCCTTCTAGAACCATGAGCACAGGTGGAAACTTTTATGGTCTTGTGTTGGTTGATGATTTCTCAAGATTTACTTGGGTTATATTTTTAGCCATAAAAAATGATGCTTTTGCTGCTTTTAAGAAATTTATCAAAGTTGTTCAAAATGAGAAAAACATTAAGACTGCATTTATAAGGAGTGATCATGGAGGAGAATTCCAAAATGATTTATTCCAAATCTTTTTGTGAAAATATGACATTAACCATAATTTTTTTGCTCCAAGAATCCCTTGACAAAATGGAGTTGTGGAGAGGAAAAATAGGTCTATAGAAAAGTTGGCAAGAACAATGTTAAATGAAAATAACTTGTCGAAGTATTTTTGGATTGATGCCATAAATATTTCATGTCATGTCTTTAATAAGGTATTGATTAGGCTTATTTTGAAAAAAGACTCTATATGAACTTTATAAAGAAGAAAAAGCCTAATATATCTTATTTTAAAGTTTTTAGATGTAAGTGTTTTGTTTTGAATAATGTAAAAAAACAAAACAACTTGGTAAATTTGACTCAAAAGTAGATGAAAAAACTTTTTAGGCTATGCCTTGTGTAGTAAGGCCTATAAAGTGTTTAATAAAATGACTATTGTAGTAGAGGAATTTGTGCATGTTGTGTTTGATGAAACCAACCCTCAAAAAGAAAATGCATAAACATAAATGATATTAGAAAAGAGTTAGATGGTATGTACATTGATAATGAGCCTAAGGGTGAGGGAGTGAACCTATTGGAATCATAAAGAAAGTTAGTGGTGAGCTACCTAAGGAGTGAAAAACTACTCATGACTTGTCAATAGACAACATTATTGGAGACATTGGGAAAACGATAGCCACTAGACATTCTATTAGAAATATTTTTAACACGATGACTTTTGCGTCTCAAATAGAACCCAAAAAAATAGAGGAAACTATTCTAGATGAACATTGGCTAGTTGCTATGTAAGAGGAACTAAACCAATTCAAAAGAAATGATGTGTATGATTTAGTCTCTTTGCTAAGTGATCATCCTATAATAGGCACTAAGTGGATTTTTAGAAATAAGCTTGATGAGTTTGGAATCATAATTAGAAACAAGGTAAGGCTGGTAGCCAAGGGGTATAATCAAGAAAAAATCATTGATTATGATGAAACTTATGCCCCTATAGCTATAATAGAGGCTATTAGGTTGTTTTTGGCATATGCATCTATTATGGACTTTAAGCTTTATCAAATGGATGTCAAAAGTGTATTTTTAATTGCTTTCTTTCAAGAAGAAGTTTATGTTCATCAACCCCCTAGTTTTAATGATTGTGAGTTTCCTAATCATGTCTTTAATTTGAAAAAGACATTTTATGGATTGAAACAGGCTCCTAGATCTTGGTTTGAAATATCAAGTAAATTTTTACTTGATAATAACTATGAAAGAGGTAAAGTAGATAACACCTTGTTTGTGAAAAGGGTTGGAAATGATACTATATTAGTTCAAATTTATGTGAATGATATAGTATTTGGTGCTACTAACTCCTTTTTATGTCAAGAGTTTGTTAAGACTATGCAAGGTGAGTTTGAGATGTCCATGATGAGAAAACTAACATTCTTCTTAGGGGTTAAAAACAAATCAACTAAAGTGGGATTTTCATAAGCCAATCTAAGTATTACAATGAACTATTAAAGAAGTGTGGCATGGAAAGTTGCAAAGAATTTTCACACCAATCTCAACTTCATGTTATCTTAACTTAGATGAAAGAGGTACAGATGTAGACATATCAAAATATAGAGGTATAATTGGATCTCTTTTATATCTCATTGTTAGTAGATCTGATATAAATTTTTTTGTATGCTTATGTACAAGATTTCAAGCTAATCCAAAAATTCATATATGACTGTTGTAAAAAGAATACTGAAATATCTAAGAGGTACTATAGATATGTGCTTATGGTTTCCTAAAGATATATCCCTAAGTTTGATAGGATATTCAAATTTTGATTATGTAGGGTGTATATTAGATAGAAAAAGTATTAGTGGTACATGTCATCTCTTAGGGAGTGCATTAGTTTCATGACATAGTAAGAAACAAGCTTGTGTTACTTTGAGTACAACTGAGGCTAAATACGTAGTTGTTGGGAGTTGTTGTGCTCAACTTCTATGGATGAAACAACAACTAATGGATTATTGTGTGGAACTATATCATATTCCCCTAAGGTGTGAGATAATACAAGTGTTATCAATCGTACTAAGAATCTAATATTCCATTCTATAACTAAAGATATAGAGATAAGGCATCACTTTCTTAAAGACCATGTTCAAAAGGTAATTACATAATGGATTCATAGATACAAATAGACAACTAGTTGATATATTCACTAAGCCTTTACCTAGAGATAGATTTAACCTTCTTAGAAATGAATTAGGAATCTCAAGTGAATCTTGCATAAATTGATCTACTGAAGAGTTTGAATTTGATGATTTGTTGTTTGAATATTGGAATGTAAATTGCTAAATTGATTGAATAGAAGTGTTTATAAATGATTGGTATAAGTTTAGTTGATATATTCACTCATTCCTTATCATACTTTTTATTTCTTAAGTAGGTTTCTCAAGAATGAAAGGTTTCTTGCAGTGGGGTTCTACAAGAGTTGCTTCTTAGGGTTCAAGAAATGGTTTCTTTAATTTTGTTGAGTGTATTGCATGTGATTTGTGATTGTAAACCTTCTGAAATTAAAGATTTGTGAAAATACTCAATCAAGTTAATTGAGGATTGGATGTAGCTCACAATGGTGGGGACTAAACCAATATAAATCTTTGTGCAAGTTTTTCTTACCCTTATTTGAATTTTACGTATTTGCTTAATCTAAATGCATGTTGATTAATCTGTATATTATGTTAAAAGCATAACATATAGGGTAGTTTAGTTCATACTTACATTGCTTATTTTTTAACATATCCATTCCACCGTGGTTTAGATCAATTGGTTCAAATGGAAATACTTAGAAAAAGTTTTTATTCAAGAAAAGTTGGGAAGAATTTTTGTAAATTTCACTCACCCCCCTCTTGGATCAACGATCTTTTTCAACCCTATATATGTATAGGGATTATATGTAACCCCATAAGGAGATTTATGTTTTTCAATTGAATTGGTAGGATTCATTTTATGTTTTTTTGCATTATATACATATATTTGTTGCATGAGAACTCTAGTGTAGTTGATTAGTTTATGTTTTTTTCTACATAGAAATTGTGTTATATTAAGCATAGTGACTTATTGAATCGTTACAATCAAAGTGATTGCAAAAGTGGTATATCATCTAACCCTGTAATTCCTCCCTTTTATAAGGTTCATTTACAACCAATTTGGAAGGTCTAAAGATAAATAATTATTTAAAAACCAAAAGGAATCAAATTTTGTCACAAATTCTTTACATGCACTCAATCACATAACACATGGATGGTAGTAAAAATTAATATAGCTTTAAATAGATCAAATTAATATAGCACAATGTACTTTAGACTTAAAATATATCATTATTATAAATAAAAAAAATAGGTCAAAATTTTTATTAAAATCTATTTAATTAAAAAGCTCACACCTTTTTTTTCAAGAATTGTTCCTTCACTCCTATTTCTAATTGTCTTCTGTTATTAGCATCCATAAACTCACCATGATTAGTGGTGATCTTCTAATTACTTTCCTTAATACCTATTTTTGCATTAGCATTGTTGATAATATCAACTTCTTTACCATCTTTATAAGTTTCTTTTGTTACCATCGATAAATTTTCATATATTTCTCTTTTGAATTGTCATGACATATAATATTTATTTTTACATATTGACTTTGCTAATGAATATATTTTCTACATCAAAAACAAATAAAATGAAGACCTATTCTAAAAATATTTTTTTTCTAGTAAATTTTTAATGGAGACTTTACTTCTGTTCACTTTTATCCTCGATCACCATTTTTTTTTATCACGTTTCACTTTTTTTAATTTTGACTTTTTCGTGTTTTTTTCTTAGATGATATTTTTCTTTCACAAAGTCTGCTTCCAAAATTCCAACAAAGGACTCCTTCATCCTTATATTAAATTCTTTGCATAGACTAACTTGAGCACTAAAAAACAAAAGTCATATATACCAACTGACTAGTTAAAATAATTGATCCTTTTTTCTCAAATAATTCTTTTTTTCTTTCTTCACTTTTATGTAATATCTCTATATTTTTTTTCTTGCTTTTTGAAAAGAAAACAGGACTTATGTGTGCAATACACATATAAAGAAAATATTTATTTATTATAAATTTTAATAATATGAAAAATATATTTATCACCTTTATACACAAATTAAAATCCTAATTTAATAAATTTCCATTCTATGCTTTTTTTTTTATCTTTTTTCATCATTATAAAATTCTTCTTCAAATTATACAACATTATAATGATAATGTTGCTTATCCTTTTTGTTAAGATTTTTCTGATTTTCTTATATAATATAAGAAAGTCAATGTTAAATAGAAAAAAAATTATTAAACTTAAAAAATACGAACGTGTTTTTTTTTTTTTTATAAAAAAAAAAGTTAAAAACAAAAATTACTGGCCAATACGCTAATAATTGATTTGATTACGAAATGGAAGTGCAGTCTCGGATGATTCAATAGGAACAGAGGAGAAGAGTGATTAATAGTTTTATTTAGATTCACGAAGAAAGACACAGTTCTGTAAACTTCTTCAGCCACTTCAACCACCGATTTCATCCATGGTAAAGTCGCAACATCTTTCTCTCTCCAACTTTGTTTTTGTATTCTTGTTTGAATACCTAGATCTCATCAAGTTCATTCCTTTTTCTCAAATATATCATTTTTCACCTAAAACCCCAATACCCAATTGGTTTCAGCTCCCCATTACTAATCATGCTAGCCAATACCCAATTGGATACTATTAGGGTTTCATTCTCTCACTAATATTTACTCTTTGTTGCAGCTGCCCCTTTCTCTTCTCAAGACTGCCCAAGGCCACCCAATGGTGAGTGAAATTCCTTTGCTTTATTTTTACCCTTTTGTTTTTGAGGTTACCTTATTCTTCTATGTATAAAACAGTGTTTGATTTGTAACTTGTGACATATTGTAACAGTTGGTGGAACTGAAAAATGGGGAGACTTATAACGGCCATTTGGTTAATTGTGATACATGGATGAACATTCATCTCCGAGAAGTTATTTGCACATCAAAAGTATTGTTTTTTTCACAGTCCTCCTTGTTTTCCTTCAAATTTATCATCTCAATGTTTGTTTCAACTTACAATGGTTCATTGAAATTGGCAATTTAGGATGGAGATAGATTTTGGCGTATGCCTGAGTGCTACATTCGTGGCAATACCATTAAGTACCTTCGGGTTCCTGACGAGGTCTGTGGTGCTGGTTAAGGTTTTTTATTTTTTATTTATATATTTTCTTGTTTGGTCTTTGTGAATAAGGTTCAGAACTTCTTAGTGAATGTCTTAAGCTCTTACCAATGCATACATTTAACAACTAATCTAGCTTTACTGCTTGTTGATTTAGGTTATTGATAAAGTCCAGGAAGAAACAAAGAGCCGCACTGGTAAGCCTTGCTTTATATATCTTCCTGGTTGTCCATGTTGATATTTAAATTGTTGAGTAAGTGATCATGATCCAAGAGTTTAAGGTGGTATTAAAGATGCATATGGTTTTGTGCTTGAACCAAACAGTTTCAAAGTCAGGCTTGTTGCTTTTCTAGAAAAGCAATGAAAGTTTCATTGCTGTGAACATGCTATTGTTGTGCATACGGTATGAGTTGCAATTTCATTGGTGTGACCTTTTTTTCAGATCGCAAACCTCCAGGTGTGGGACGTGGAAGGGGAAGAGGTAGGGAGGATGGTCCTGGTGGACGTCAAGCAAAAGGAATTGGGCGTGGCTTTGATGAAGGTGGAGCTAAAGGACAAGGAGGACGTGGCAGGGGTGGTCCGGGTGGAAAGCCTGGTGGAAACAGAGGTAAATCATTCCTTAATTTCAAAATGCAGTATTGCATGTATACCAATTAATCTTTGTTGGTTTCCATCCCTCAAATTTACCACGAAAGATGTTCCTGCTGTTGTGTTATTATTTTCACCTGGATGATCTCTGATGAGGCAAACATTTCTTTGTTGTAGAAAGTAAATTATTATTAGAGGAACTCAGTCTCACTCTTCCTTGTTAGGGTCTTTATGGATAAAGAACTTGGTAGTTCAAATTATAGTAGAGAGAAGTTATATCTAATAAAATCCATCTTGTAATTTTATCAAAGATCTAGGGATATTAATATTGCTTGTTATATAATGGTTACCTCCAATTCAAATCTGACTACATGAGTGGCTTCCCCTTCCTCTTAAAAATCTCCAAACAAGGATTCAGGCCACTTTGTCATTTGCATCCTCAATTTCTCATTTACCTCCCATCCAACAAATTGTATAGCACGGATATTGTGATTGAATCTCATCCAGTGTGTTTCTTCTTTTGGTAGGTGCAGGGCGAGGTAGAGGTTGATCTAAGTACTGATATGGAACTATAGATGGGCCAGTTGCTGCTTTTAGAGGCTATGGTGCCCATTCAGAACATTTACTGTTTTTGGTTCCTGTGCATCTTTCAATTTTAGGTTTCCAATTATTTTCCTGCATTAATAGTCTCACAAAAATGGTAATATTATAGACCTCACTAAAGCGTTTATGCCAACATCATTTTCTAATGCCTTCTCTGTTAAAACTTTCATCTGTAGTCCTTTTACCTGAGACTATGTTTAGATATATAGTGATGAGTGAAACGAAATGTAGTAATGGAGTGGAATGAAATAAAGCTAGGATTCTATTGTTTGGATGTTTTTATCGTGGAATAGATGAAAAGGCTGGATTCATTCTCCCAAATTAGCGGGGGAAGAAAAGGGGTATTCGAAGGATGGAATGGGATACAACCGATGAGGTTTCATTTCATCCTATTTTAAACTAGTACCCACATAATGAAGCTAAAGAACAAGTCCTAATTGTTAAATACCTCCCAATGCTGTCATGTTTTGAAATGGTATGTTGAATCCTAAGTTTGTAGTTTTTTCTCAAAAAGATGTTTTTAATTAAAATTAAAATTAAAAAAATGCTGAATCTTAAGGTATTTCAGCGACTTTTTCAAAAGATAAAAATAATAGCTTATAATTAATATATTAATATTTATAAATTTTTTGAATGTTAAAACTAAACATGCGCATTCGGATCCGAACACAGTTCTTGTCACTGGTGATTGGTGTAATTATCACTATCATGAAAGTAACTGGCTTATAGGGAATAAATCAAATTTGGTTTGTTTTGGGGGGCGTTACTTGTTCTTTAGCTTTTCTTTTTGTAGTTGCTCCCAATGAATTGCAGCCTTTCACATACTCATGGTAGTTTGGACCGTTTAAATTTAGGATTCTGGCTTTTTCATGTACATTTGGTCAAATAAATAAACAAAAGCAACGTGGAAAATAAGATGTAATTATTTTTTTGTTAGCGTTTATTGTTTGAAACATGATGGAAAGGACTAATTTGTCCATTTTAAAAACATAAAGCCCTAAATAGAATTTTTTAACGGATAAGGGGCCAAACTGAATCTAAAATAAAAAAATAAAATAAAACACTAAATTTAGTCTTGCTGATAAAGAAAAAAAAAAGTGATGGAATGAAAAAAAGTTATAGCAAGATTTGTTGTTTGTATTTCATCACCTGATATTAATTGTTATCCTAGTACCATCGAGAAAATGCGATGTGAAAGCAGCCTTTTCCTTTAAAAGTTGTGTGTAGGAGCGGCCATTTGATCATACAATGTTTAACAAGTTCTAATTCCAGTAGGTAATAAAAAAAAATGTTTCGAGTGTATTACTAGCACCTTTAATAACCATAGTATTTCTTTTGAGCTGCAGTTGCTACAAAACTCAGGTGTGGTGTGGGTGTTTATACAATCAAATTAGACTCTCTTTTTTTTCATTACCAAAAAAAAGTCTAATTTTCAGTAGCTAAAGTTAGAGCATTTGATTTGAAGATGTTTTGCTTCATTTATAGCATCTTGGCAGGTCCCAGACATTGTAAGGCTACATTGAATAATGAAATGTTAGAATCAAACATGAACAGGAAGCAAATGAAAGTTCACCGGATGTACAATCTTTACACGCAGGAAGAATGTGTATAATGGTTCGTCTTAAACATAATTTAAAAAAAATTATATTTAAAACGTAAAAGTTATAACTAATAACTTTTATTTTATCGTAATTTATCATGTTTAAAATTTTAATCAAACATACACCGAATTGAATGCAGGGTAAAGGCAAACCACGACATTACGCAACATTGCATTTGCATATAACTGTAAAGCAAACCAACTATGGAGATATATTGTATACTCCAAAAATACATTTTTGTGAAGGAAGTGCTCACACTAATGAATTAAATTTGTAACCATCAAAAAATAAAAACAAGACGAAGGGCTCAAGGAAACTTTTTTTTTTTTTTTGAAAGGCACGTCATATTTGATAGCACATAGATACGAAAGGAAACTGAACAGTAACAAAAGGAAATCGAAAAAAGATAAATTTGAAAAGCACATGGGGCACATGTTTTCTGCATGAAAAAAAGAAAGAAAAAAAAACTGTCATGGAAATTGTTCATCAATGAATGACTCCTTCACTGTCTATTAAATGTTGAAGGACAATACCTTACATTTCAATAAATCAGACATGACTTCTGTCCCCACGTGAAAATAAAAAAAAAAATGTTTGTATTTATTAAAAAACTAAAGGTATTAAAAAGTTTGTATAGTCAAAGCAGAAAGCTGTATCTTAGAGAGTACAGAAAGTATGGTCATTGTCATATTGAGCTTCTAAATAGTATGCGACAAGAAGATCCTGTAGGCCCTGCGGTGCTACCAATACAGATTCATTGCTTATAGCTCAGTGCTCACGGTATGGAGGAAGTGGTCAACAAATACATCTATCATCTGTGCGTGTACGTTGCTCTCAAGTAAACACCGACCCTGATTGAAAACACTCAGAGTTCTTATCTTCAATTCAAATTCAATAATGTTTCTTTTCCATTTTGCTACCTCGTTGTGCAGTAGGCCTTTTTAGAGTAAAATATTATTTTTAGACATCCCATGTGTTACTCAACAGTGATATAATATAGTATGAGTACAAATTAAAAAACATAGACTGTTAGTACTTGATAAAGTGTTTCAAAAAGAAGAGAGTTAACACTTACTTTTATCTTTTATTAATTAAAATTTATTAAAAATTATAGAATTAAAAAAAGAATCATAATGTGAAACCTATTAAATTTTGTATTTTTTTTTAATAAATTTCTATCAATTAAAAGAATTTTGTTTTAGTATAAAAGTTACCTACAATTTCTTAGATATTATTAATGTTATTCTTCAATCAAAATTAAAAACTTTATTTCAATAATATGCATAAATGTATATTAGTGAAATGTATATTAAATGTAAGTATATATTATTAAGGTAAAACCTTAATTTTGATTAAAAAATAATACTAAACACACTTAAAAAATTAAGATAAAACCTTAAATTTGTTTGTATTTAAAAGATTGTCTTAAAAAAAAAAAAGAGTAAGATATCTCTTACAGAAATATTGTCTAAAGGTCATTCCTCAAATAATTCTTCAGTATTATGTCAATAGCTAGTTTGAGTTGAGATCATTAACTAAACTCTAATGGTGTGTTTGGATGAGAAATTTTAAATTCTTGGTATTTGAATTATTTTGATTTCAATTTCTATCATTCTTAAAATATTTGTTTGGATAACTCAATTAAAATTTCTTAAATTTTAAATTGTTGGGTTGGATATGATAATTTGATTCGACCATAGTAAATTTAATTTTAAAAATATTTTTGAATATTTAATAATTAAAAATATGAAGAGATAAGAGATAAGATAAAATATATAAGTGAAATAAAATAAAATGAAGAATTTCAAATTCTTACTTTTTTAGGAGAATTTGAAATTCTACTATTTCAAGAAATTTTACCTTATAAATTTTTCATCCAAACAAGGTATTTCACCTCAAAGAATTTAAAATTTTTCAAATAAATGAATTACTCCATTTAAATTCTCCATCTAAACATATTATAAAGTCATTCGGAGATAAAGAAAATGGCTGGAGAGTATCACTGAACAAGGACTCTCCATTCTCCCCAACCCAGAAAATGTTCAATCAATTATTGACTCTTAAAAAAGAAAATGTATCATCTAGAGTTATAGAAAAAAGACAACTAAGCTTGACTTCGTAGAAAATAATATGAATAAAAATGAACCTTTTGATACACCAACAAATATTCACGAAACTTATTTAACTACTAACAATTTTCCATCATAAAAATATATAATTTCATATTAAATTAAATTAATTAATTGAAATTGTTTCAACTTAGTTAATAACTTGTCTTATAAGAATGACACATTTAATTAAGCCTCTTCACTACTATTAACTAAAATATGATTTCCTCAGCTTTACACTAAAAATTCTCAAAAAAAAAAAATAATTGATAGTTAGCTTACATAGAATCATATCTGCTTCAACTTAAACTTTTAATTATTAAAAAAAAAACTTAACTAATAAATTCAAGTTTTAAGCCCTACGAATAGCGAAATGTCCCGTATGTTATTTAAACAAACTGAACTCTACGTGCCGTACAAGGAATAAAGAATGTCAAATAAACATGTAAAATTTATAATATAATATGAAAATCTAGTCTTATCGAATTTCATTGGTAAAATTAGCTTGAATACTACGATCTAACTTCACACGACTAAAAAATTTACGCAATTGGAGAAAAGTGACGTAACCAATAATTTCGCCCTATAATCCCAAACGCAACTTAAGTGATTTCTTTGGGGGATAATACAAAATACAGAAAGCTAGATACTGCCACCTTCATGAAATATAAATCACAATTGTACAATATCCTACTTCAACTTGAAGGAGCATTTGCTAGCAAATAACACGAGCTAATAATGTTCATTGTTCAGAGACAAAAGGGAAGAGCAATATAAACGATTCCACTTAAACAACTTTCAGTTGATAGTACAACCAGACTGAAAATTTTACTGCACGTTTGTGAGTCTTCTGAGTTCGAGATTTTGCACTGCAAGGACATTATTTGTTGGGAGCAACTTCCTCACTAGTGCTCGTGCCATCTTCTCCAACTGTAGAAGCTCCCTCCTCCTTATTGTTAGTCTCTTCTTTTCCGGGCTTTGACACTTCTTGATCTGTACAATTGGCAAACAAATATGTATAATTAGCCCAAAACATGATCCGTATATGAAAACAAGGTTCCAGAATACTAGAGTCAAACTATTCTAATGACATGCCAATACATGACTGAGTAATAAGTGGAAAATAAAAAAGTTGACATTCTAAGCTTCGAATAAAGCCATAGGTTAGGGTAACAAATTAAATTCAAGGGCCTCTTTACAATTTATAAAAAAAATCCACCAGTTCAGTATGATAAGGTGTATGATTGTTCCAAAGATGGGTTGCATTTGCATTAGGAATTCCTAATCACTATGTAAACTTCAAGTTTAGGACATAGTTGTCTTGTGGTCAAATTCCAATCCTCCCCCCATTCAACTCACCATGAAAACTTCACAACTATACACGTTAACAACAATCATATGGACGGAAACTAAATCTTTAGTATTCACCAAGAATAAATTAATATAACCTACAGCCACCCCAGCAAAAATGGATTTTAGTGTCTGTGATAAGAACAGGATCAAAAAGAACACAAAGAGTTGTGAAAACCTAATCCCCAATTCTTTACCAATATGGTGACAGACTGGGTTATACAAGAAAATCAACAGAAAGTACAAAAGAATATCCCTGTATAATTCGCCCAATCTCTCATATTATAATATGAAATGTCTTCCACTCCTCCCTACCATACAAGTGACTATTAAATTCCCAACCCAATTTTTAAATTAACTCAACAAAAACCAGTTAGTTAGACTTTGTCACAAACAGTTTAAACTGAATCAGGGGTTCATAGTCCCCTACACATCTCTCCTATTTTTCCTCGTATACACCCTTTTAATTGGATAGCGTTGCCAAACATGACAGATGACAACTGTTGAAACTTTCCATGTTTTCATAAAATAATAAACTACCCCAATAATGCACATACAGGCATATTTCCATAAAAAAAAATTTCGTGTGGGAAACATATGCTACAAACACCGATATCTTCTAAAATCAAACAGGCTTTGTCAAGTGATTAAGACACCATAAATGCCAAGTGCCAAGTTGCCAACCACAAACAGAGCAGAATACTTACCTTCATCATCACTCTCATCAAAATCGTCACCCATTGCATCATCACCCATCCCACCAAATTTCTGCAGCAAAAAATAATTAGTACAAATAACATTTATAAGAGAGGGGGGTTGAAACTTAGAATCACATTAACACATTGCATACCGAAAAATCCATCCCTCCCAAGTCCAGGTCACCCAAACCTAATGATAAACGAGACATTAAGTCAATACATAAAAATATAATGCCTTTTACAACTTACAATACAAAGGCTAAGTAGAATAACAGGGTTTAAACATGCACATACCCTCCTCATCTTCATTTTCATCCACCCATTTATCCCAATCTACTTTCACATAATGTGGAGGCTTGCCCTCTGCATGCAATAACCTTTTCCACCATCCCTTCTCTGCCTTCTGCACCACACAGAATATGCTTCTCACTCCTACATTAATTTTGCTCTCCTGAACAACAAAAGAAAACCCATAAAAATATTATTACACTGCAAATGAAGCATAACAGAAAAATTATTTAGATTAAAAAAAATCTAACAGGCAACAAGAAACATAAACATAACTTGTGAATGTCTTCTCACCTCTACATTAACCTTGTCAAAAAGCTCCAACTTGAGCTCATAAAGATGGTCTTGAGCACCAGCATTAGCAGAAAAAGTGAAAACGCCATCTGGAGTAAGGTCAACTTTTGCATTTTTTGAATCTGCCAACTGAACCGTGACATAGACCTTGTCCAACCTCTGAGCCCACTTGACCTCAGGATGACGACTGCATCAACACAGTGCAGACAACACAATTAATAAATCATGATAAAAAATTAAAAATTAAAAATTAAAAAAAAAATGCATAACAACACAAATAAGCATCGAACGTACCATACAAAAGTTTTAAAAAATAAAATAGAATTAGAATGTGCCACTCAGATAATCTGGCGATTAAGTGGCAAAACCGTAAGAGTACAGAACAACGAGGAAGACATCGGCACGTGATTATCAAGAAGACACGAAATAAAAAACAGTAAAAAAACAAAAGACAGTGATATTTAAAGAGAAACAGGTTTTGTACCTCATATTTGTTTGAGAGAAGTGGATTTGAAACCCTAGATGTCTTCTTCGTTGGTAACTTTCTGTCTACTCACAGAGACACAAGCCCAACTCTAGCTGTTCCTCTTTCGGATTTTGATAACACCGATGTTTGTTCGATAAGTTTCTTTTTCCTTTTTCTTTTTTGGTCAACTGTTCGGTAAGTTTCTCGAACACACTTCTTTCTCGGAGCAAACCAGTTACACTAGGCCCATTTCATTCTTATATTCGAACGCTCGAAACCTCAGTTAAGGCCCAGACATGAAACATGCTTCGAATCGAAGGGTTTGTTGTTCTCGCACCCTACAATTTTTTTTTTAACTTTTGTTTGAATCAAATAGTTTTGTAAATGTACAAGTTTGGCATCTCAAAAATTTTTATTATAAATTTTAGACAAAAAAATACTAATTTGGTCTCTTATAATATTTTAAATATTTAATTTAGTCTCACCTTAATTTGTTATTTTAATTTGGTCTCTAATAAGTTAAATCACTGCAATGTCAAATTTTTTGTCCAAATTTCTTAAACGGAGTTAACTGTCGGTCACGTGTATGCCACGTAGATACATAGGTGACAAGGTGCCACGTAATGCATTTGGAACAGCCCGTTCTGAAATCCCGTTCCAGATGCAAAATTAACACACAAATAGTGTAACTAGAACGAACCGTTCTGGTTTCAGAATGAGTCGTTCTGGTCCCAAAACGCCAACTACAAACGGTAAATGATTACAGTTCACGCCCGTGATTCTAAATCACGATTGTGAATTGTTCAAGGAAAAAAAGTCCAAGGTACAAAACATTTCGAACACTGGATTTGGTAATGTTGTCAATGGGGGATTGATAACTTCAATTGCTAAATATTTGGACTATACACCATTTCTGGACCAATTGCATGATATAGGAACTCCTAGAAGTATTAATTATAATACTTGTTATGCAATGCAGTGTATCACTAAGGATACTAAAGACAATGGTGGCATGTTTTATTTCATTGTTGGTCAAACTGAAGTGAATCACTTACTACCAAATCGGTACTATACAGTCAAGGATGAAACGACATTGTTTTATTTCCCTCCTCAGTAATTTATTTGAACTTTCTTAGTATATGTTATGTTATGAATTTTTGTTTGTAATCTCTGAACCATATTTCAATCTTTGATTTTATATTATTGTTTGTGGTGAAATTCGTTTTATGAGTTCTTTGTATTTGAACTAGCACGAAATCGTTTTAATTTAGGTATTTTACAGTAAAGTTATTAAACTCGCTTAAGAACGGAAATAGAGTTGATTAATAAACGTTGGTTCCAGATTTTCATGAAGGATAATCAAACAGTAATTTGCATGCACGTAAATGCTTAAACGAACAGAATGAACAATGCATACATTGACAATACAAATCATTGTTTAGTTTGCATAATGATCAAGTTATAATTTTAGAATCAAACAACTTACGAACTACGGAATTAAAAGACTACACTAATACTAGTAAAAGAAAGAAAATGTGGCCAAGAAATGGTCATACCCAGCAATTCCATGCACGAAAGTCATATGCGCAGGCGGTGAGTGCTTGAGAGTTCAAGTATGATTTTTTTGACCTTATGCGATGAGGTTGCTTCCTCTATTTATAGACATTATTAAGAGCGGTTTATTTTGTGTAAATCCATCATGGACGCATAACCGTTGTCCACTACATTACTTACGTGGGTTAAGATATGTAACTTTCTAGTAACTGTTCATCCCACTTGTTTTTATCTCTTCGATTCGCTCTTCATTAACCGCCTTGGAATAACTACTCAACTATTTGGGAAACTTCCAGTAACCTCCTTCCTCTATTTTTTTCGAGCAATTCTTTGTTCTGTTCGACCGATTTTATTCGACCAAATCTCAAGTACGAACAAATAAGGTTCCTAATACGTTTCTGGTAGGTGCTAATTGTTTATCTTTCTTTCAAGTAACTTCAAAAATGTAGCTTTCGAGTAGTCCTAACAATTATATTATGAATTTTTGTTTTCAATCTCTGAACTACATTGTTGCATTTTGTTGAACATACGTTGACTTTCTGGAACGGCTCGTTCTGAATCCAGAATGGCCCGTTCTGGAACCAGAACAGTCCGTTCTGGTTTCAGAATGGGTCGTTCTGCTTGCACTCGTTGTATTTAAAATATTACATCTGGAATGGCCCGTTCCACATGCAAAATTAATAACACACAAATAGTGTAACCAGAACGGGCTGTTCGTTTCAGAACGGGCCGTTCCAAATACATTAAAGAAGAAGGAGGAGGAGGAGGACATGGGACATTGCCACCTATGCATCTACGTGGCATCCACGTGGCCAACAGTTAACTCCGTTTAAGAAATTTGGACGAAAGGTCCAACATTGCAGTGATTTAACTTACTGGGGACCAAATTAAAACAAAAAATTAAGGTGAGACTAAATTGAAATTTTAAAATATTATAAGGGGCCAAATTAATATTTTTGCCTAAATTTTATCTCTCTAATTTTCAGAATTAAGAAATATCAATTCACCTTTAATATATTTATGAGTAATATTCTTTGCAATTAGTTAGTCACATAATAAAATAAGAACATTGTAATAAAATAAATAATGTTATTTTTTATATGGAAGCAACATGACTAAATAACTATTACTTACATACATGTAAGGATATTTTAGTTGATTTTAAATGACATGTTTACAGTATTGTTTAATTTTAAAAATTAAGACTATTAAATTTGTAATTAAATTTTTTATAAGATCAATATTTTATATTCATGAAACTAGAGATTAAAATTCAACTTAAACTTTTAATTAATTAAAGTGGTAATTATAATGCATTTAATATTTCCATTCTATTTATATATTGGTACACCATAAAAATCTCTAACAAGTAATTTTTTTTTAACTATAATATAAATATGAAATATTTATTATTAGAAATTGTGATTAGACTCTCAACATACACAAAATAAGTACTCCTCTTCTAATATGATCTATTTTATTCTCATGAGAGTTTGAAATCTAACTTTGTTAAAGAACATAAATACTATTATTTGTTAAGAAATGGTAAGGTTGTATTAAAAAAAATAAAGTATTATTATTTTTATGGAATAAATTATTTATTTTTATAATGAAAATTTATTAGTTTGAAATTCTTAAAATACTTCTAGGTATAGTCACTGCTGTCGACGATGGATATTCCAGGAACGAAAAAAAAAAATAATAATAATAATAATAATAATAATAATAATATAGCATTTAATAATACATTGAAAATTTATCCACTAGTATTGGCAGGGGGAGGGGTTGAGTAGATTGTACGAGGATTTGAGTTTTATCTTGTTGTACACTAATTTAAAGAGAGAGAGAAAATACATCGAAAATCTGTTTAAATTGATTGTTATTAAATATTTGTCTCTTTTAGTTCTTAACAAAATTATTACCATTTATATATGTTTATTTATTATAATGTTAATTAATAAATTATTATTATATCACTAGTACAAAAGAGACATTTTATGTTTGTTATTTTAGATTTTTTATGTCGAAAAAAAGTCTGACATCAATACGGGAGACATAAATTTACGTCAGATGTTTTAGTCGACATAAAATTATGTCGAACATCCTTCACGTCCGACGTAAAATGGTTGACAGACAAACAAAAAAATAACTTTAATCCGTGAACACGTCCAAAAAATACCCAAATGTTTCAATCCAATCGGAGAAATAGGTCCAAAATAAAAAATGGGTCTTGCCATCATGCATCGTGAACGGTAAACATCCAAAGGTCTCGCAGCGCTGTCGCCGGAAATCGCTGGAGAGGAAAACAATGTCAAAACACTTGTGTGCAGGAATAAAATAACATTTTTACACAGAAAGATCAATACACGCATGAAAGCACTAACCTCAATTCATGAAATTAAAATGCCTAAATACTTCAACCTAATCAAAGAGATAGATTTATAATCAAAAATGGGTTTCGCTGTCGTTGTCGTCGCCGCTCACCGTGACCGAAAAACACCCAAAGGTCTCATACCACCGTTGCCGGAAATCGCTAGAGAAAAACCTAGAGGAAAACAATGGAAAAACACTTGCGTGCATGAAAAAGATGAAAGTACTGGGGAAATAAAATAACTTTTTACGTCGGGCCAAAAGGGGTTCGACGTAAAAATTAAAATCTACATCAGATTGTACTTCATATTGAATGTAGATTTTAGTTTTTACGTTAGACCCCTTTGGTCTCGTAAAAAAATTTAGATTAATTTTAAAAATATTATCGCGTATTTTTTACGTTAAATATTTTTATAACCAACGAGAAAACACTGAAGAATTTTGCACTTTATTATAATGAGGGTTTACACGTATGGTCATCCATTGCATGCAACTTAGACGAAGAAAATTTTTCTTATATAAGAACCAAGTTATTGTCAAATTTTTAGAGAAAATTAACATGCACGTAGAGAGAGTTGTGGGTACTATTGTGAAATAAGTTAGGAACCCAATTAGCATTGAATAAAAAATAATAAATGTTCTTGAGTCTGATGTAGCTTAATGAAACCTGTTAAAAGACATTTAAGAACTCCAAATGAATTCTCTCATGAAATGTTAAAATTAATTATTAGATTTTCTTTATCATATACAATATGTAATTTTTCTTATTTTTTATAATCATACCAAGTTCACATTGTTACATTCGTTAGATAGTAAAATTTACTTAAAAAAATCAATTATTTCATTTGATAATTAATTATTTTGATCATATTGATTATGTTAATCACTCAAGAAAAAAAAATTTGATTATTTTACCATATAATTGATTATTTGTGAAATCACTATTTTTCAATTTTATGGATAATCAATTATTACATCATATAACCAATTATTTACAAACAACTTATCCAATTAAAAAAATAAATAAATAAATTTGATTATTGTAAGTTGGTAATCGATGATTTTAGGTAAAATCAGTACAAATTTTGAACATATTTTAACAAAACATTAATTTTAAGCTCACCTATTTTTTTTTAATAATTTTAACTTGAGTAATCAATTACCTTTTAAATTACGAACCAAGTACCTTTACACACAAACACAATATAATCAAACAACACAATTTGCACTCTTATTGAGTGAGAGACTTGCTTTTGAACTTATCAAAAGTCTATAACACTTTCATCATCAACTTTTTCCCTTTTAATCTTAATCAACACCTTCATCCACTCTAGCTTCTTTTTCATTGCATACAGTGTTTTTTCCCCTTCGTTATTTTTCTTCCAATGAATAA